CCACCCCCCCACCCCGCTAACTCGGTTGTACACTTATAGTATGATAGTCTTTAGTAAAACACAAAACATTAATGTATGGAATTTGGTACGACGATTCCGCTAATTTAAGAATTCACTACAAAGCCTAACCTTTTCTTTCTGCTGAAATTTGTGTACGTTGATGTAAGAACGCTTACAGTATCTATATACCTTATAAAGGCGCGTGTTGATAAAGTCACTCTTTGTTTGAAATTCTTTGTCTTTTTAATACTCCATTTTTCCTCGATATTTATCTTTGACTTACCATCTTTCTCGACACGCTTCGCAAATTCGTCGGCCCATTTTTTAAGATGTCCCATCTCAATTGCTGCCTGTTCCAGCTTCTCGACACGGTCTGCAAGTCCAGCAGTATTCAGGTCGTTATCTATAACACAGTATATGTGTATTGCTATGGTATGTTGTTATTGTTATCCATATAAAAAAGCAAGACAAAAATTATCTTTAAAACATAACAAGGTTAATATTATGAACAGTTTTTTACACAACCAATACAAGTTTCTATGTGGCGTTTCGATGACTAGTACGATGTGTACACTGTCACCTTCATCCGACACATCAACATCGATTTGTTGACAACTCGTACACATCTGACACATTTGTGTACACACGCTTCACTGGTCATTTGTCGGATGCAGGTGACAGTGTACATATCGTACTAGTCATCGAAACGTAATATAGAAAATTTTATTGGTTGTGTAAAAAAAAGCACTTTTCATAATCCATACTTACCAACCTGAAGAAAATGTTTAGAAATAACAAGGTTTATCTTTATCAACTTATCTTTTATAACAAAATATGATTCATTTGATTTTTCTTTCGCGAGGATGAACAATGTGTAATTTAAATCTTTCGAAACTATTGAGCTACAAGTAATCAACTAAAACATTGGAGATTTTCATTTTATAGCGAATACAAATCCCCACGAACATGTATCCTTTGAAGAACTATCAATCAATCAATTAAGCAGTGTGTTTTACCGGCTCATGTTATTACTTTAGTATTTAAATCAACAACACAATATGTACAGATGATGATGATGATGATGATGAGTGATAGTATGGGACGTTTATAAGCGTATTCCACAATATTTTTTTCCAACCATGATGTTTAACTGTACAATGAAGGTTTGCTATCTAGTATGGCCTCGATATGTCGAAGTAATTGTAGTTAGAGATAAATAGAGATATCGGTTTTAAAAATACATTAAAATAAAATAACTTAGAGTAACTCTAAACGAATTCATAATTAGGAATCAATAATCAGACATCAATATAACGAAACTCTAAAGGTATTTAATTCGAAGGGCTCCATAGTGAGGTTTCAGTGATTAGTTACAAGTATTTAATTAGAAGGGCTCCATAGTGGGGTTTCAGTGGTTAGTTACAAGTATTTAATTAGAAGGGCTCCATAGTTGGGTTTCAGTGGTAAGTTACAAGTATTTCATTAGAAGAGCCCTATTGTGGGGTTTCAGTGGTTAGTTACAAGTATTTAATTAGAAGAGCCCTATTGTGGGGTTTCGGTGGTTAGTTACAAGTATTTAATTAAAAGGGCTCCAATGTGGGGTTTCAGTGGTTAGTTACACGTATTTAATTAGAAGGGCTCCATAGTGAGGTTTCAGTGATTAGTTACAAGTATTTAATTAGAAGGGCTCCATAGTGGGGTTTCAGTGGTTAGTTACACGTATTTAATTAGAAGGGCTCCATTGTGGGGTTTCAGTGGTTAGTTACAAGTATTTAATTAAAAGGACTCCAATGTGGGGTTTCAGTGGTTAGTTACAAGTATTTCATCAGAAGGGCTCCATTATGGGGTTTCAGTGGTTAGTTACAAGTATTTCATTAGAAGGGCTCCAATGTGGGGTTTCAGTGGTTAGTTACAAGTATTTCACTAGAAAAGCTGTCATTGTGGAGTTTGAGTGGTTAGTTACAAGTATTTCATCATAAGGGCTCCATTAAGGGGTTTCAGTGGTTAGTTACAAGTATTTCACTAGAAAAGCTGTCATTGTGGAGTTTGAGTGGTTAGCTACAAGTATTTCATCAGAAGGGCTCCATTAAGGGGTTTCAGTGGTTAGGTACAAGTATTTAATTAGAAGGGCTCCATTGTGGGGTTTCAGTGGTTAGTAACAAGTATTTTAATAGAAGGGCTCCATTGTGGGGTTTCAGTGGTTAGTTACAAGTATTTAATTAAAAGGACTCCAATGTGGGGTTTCAGTGGTTAGTTACAAGTATTTCATCAGAAGGGCTCCATTATGGGGTTTCAGTGGTTAGTTACAAGTATTTCATTAGAAGGGCTCCATTGTGGGGTTTCAGTGGTTAGTTAAAAGTATTTCATTAGAAGGGCTCCATTGTGGGCTTTCAGTGGTTAGTCTCAAAAATAAATTAGAAGTGCTCCATTGTTGGGTCTCAGTTGTCAGTTAAAAGTATTTCATTAGAAGGACTCCATTGTGGGATTTCAGTGGCTAGTTACAAGTATTTCATTAGAATAGTTCTATTGTGGGGTTTTAGTTGTTAGTTACAAGTATTACAATAGAAGGGCTCCATTGTGGGTTTTCAGTTGTTAGTTACAAGTACTTACCATCTACATCTTCCAAGTTGACGAGCTCAATCATGACCTCAAGGCCAGTGGCTCCACAGACAAGTACCTGGCGGAAAACTTCGTTAAGGAAATCCTTAGGTTTGGAATAAGCGTCAAAGTTGGTATTCTTTGCCACTTTAAAGAGAAAACATGCACGTTTTGTTTAATGTGAATTCGTGCTAGTAGTTGTAATTATTTTTGACATATAGTGTTAACTTTGTGTCTTAATTTGTTAAAAAAACGTAGTACATCGTTCAATGTATCAAACAAAAAGGCGTGTTTCCNGGGGTGGGGGTGGGGATGGGGGTTTGGAACTTAAATAAGTTGGACAACTTGCCAAATCCCTTTTGTATATTAGATGCAAATGAAAATGACAATATGTTTTAATCAAATTGATAGCTTATGTTCGAGCGAACGTATTCAAAATACCCACCTTCCTTGCAGTCTTCGAGGAAAAGTGAGTCCTTATCATCTGCAAGAGCTGAAATTAAAGGGAAAGTGTCATGAAATTATGTTTATATGAAAAGGACGAAAATGAATAGGGATTTGAAGATAAGATTAGTTTAACGCATTTTACTTTAGATAAGCATAAAAAAGCTGAGCAAATAAGCATTTAGATATTTTGTTTTTGTCTTTATGAAGAGTTGAACACTCGTTTAGTAGCAAGGCGTTTTTCGATTGAGTAAGCTTAGAAAACAACGTACGGGGAAGCTTAGCCATCATTTCCTTTTCCTTCTTGTCATCTGTATCCAGTTCCTTCTCGAGGGCTTTGAATTCGGCTGTTGGTTTAAGATCATCACCCAGAGCTCCTATAAAAGGACAATTGTTTACAACTTTAGTTCAGTAAAGTCATATTCATGAAATTTCCTAATTAAAAAGCGTCATATTCATGAACCATAAAAAACGACTCTATGTATAGTTAATGTAGTCAAAAACAAGTATGAGATCTTTTAAACTATCGTTTTTTCACAGCTGAAAGATATCGTCAATTACATGTTTCGTAATTGATTATGTTCATAAAATATACTTACCATTCAGTTCAATCATTTTGTTTATGGTTTCGAGAGCATCTTCCAGTGTTTCTTGCATATCTGCTGCCCCTTCACGAATTTCTTGTGGATCACCATTGGCAATGGCTGTAGATAGAATTATTGAATATGGCTAACAGCATTGAGGTGAGAACAGTTTTCTGTAAAGCTCTACATGCCAAACAATTAATATAAAGGTTGTTACTGAGCTATTTAATTTGTTTAAGTACAATCATCATCGTTTATCGTTTGCTTACACCGATATCAGTGAACGCACAATTCGCAGTAACACTAAGACTGGCTGATATGTCATTGGCATCGTGAGGCAACATATAAGATAAGAATTTAGCATGGTTGTTTGTACCACAGCAAATTATTGATATAGTTATTAGAAGGTCCTTCATGTAGGATAAACAACGTGTATTAGATAATTACCTTCCATTATCTCTTCCTTTGGCTACAAAAGAAAATGCATAGGTACAGAAGGTATCATGGCAAAAATGATCTGTTCTAGCAACATCATGTTCTAATTAAAATCATTTTTGATGAACTGTCAACACGGGTATTTTAAAACTGTGTTTTCGATTCATCTTGTTACTCAATATGTATGTCAATAGTGGTGGTGAAAAACACGAATTAATTATTGCAATACTGTGAGGTGCGAACGCATCACTATTGCATACAAGCTTTATACTATTAAATGTACACGAAATACTACGTGGAAAAGTTGTTCTGATAAGTTTAAACACAATACTTCTGGAGCACAATACTTTTACTTGGTTGCAATACTATTGCATGCGAACACAATTTATTGAGAGTGCTGCAATAGTATAAAGGATGAACGTAATGCTACGGCTTGAGAGCTTGATACTATTAGGAGCTCAATGCTTTCAGGCCTGAACGTAATGCTACTGCTTGAGAGCTGGATACTATTCGGAGCTCGATACTACCTAGCTTGAACGTAATGCTACTGATTGAGAGCTTGAAACTATTCGGAGCTCAATACTACCCAGCTTGAACGTAACGCTACTGGTTGAGAGCTGGATACTATTCGGAGCTCGATACTACTCAGCTTGAACGTAATGCTACTGATTGAGAGATTGATACTATTAGGAGCTCAATAATATCAGGCTTGAACGTAATACTACTGCTTGGGAACCGAAATTCTATTATTAGTGTCGCCATTGTTCCTGTATGGCACATAGCTGCTTTTTAAACACATTGATAGGATTTATGTGTTCTTGTATTTAATAATAATTAAGATTTAATACATCACACGTTGTAGGATATATGTAGGATATATGTGTTCTTGACTTGTATTTTATTTCATTTACTCAAACTACGAACGAAGATTCAATTTATCACACGTTGTTCGTTCAGCTAACTTACCGAAGGCGTACGTTTTCCAAAATTAAAAGACCTGTCCATATCTGAGAAAGGAAAAAAAGGAGAGTTGTGTGGAAGGAAGTAATAGAGTCATTATAATAAGTATTATTATAAGTATTATTATAAGTATTATTCAAACGCGGGAAATCTTGCTTATAATAATTTATTGTTCATAAACTTCTATCATGTATCTTGCCCGATTTGAACTTTTTATTTCTCGTTTTCCCGGATTAAATTGTTTTGAATGAATATAAATGTATATAAGCACAGTCAATGTTGCATGAACTTGATATAAAGCTCGCCATAAGGGAATCACATGAAGTTGTTAATATTTTGAAATTTTAAGCTTTGACTAAAACTTACTTAGATTGGCAAATAATAGTAAATTGAAATGAAATACAAATATCTTACTTACCTCCATTTTCTGCCTTCTTGATGAGGCCAATAACCCATGCACCGATATGACCCATCTCTAAGAAGGTAGCTTCTATTATATCCAGACGGTCAGCCAAACCGGAAACAGTCAGATCAGCGTCTAAAAATCAAACATTCCTTTTGAGGTGAATCAGTCAGTCCATACACCAATAACTTACCTAAGAAAATTGAGACATGGTACCCCTTTGAGAATGGGTTATTTGTATACGTGAAAAAAGGACACACTCGACTCACCGGTCACAGAGGACAGATCAAGCAAATTGGAAATGATGCCCATTCCGGTTCCGGCACAGTTGAACACCTGGCGAGTGAGTGCCGTCAGTCGCTCCTTGTCGCTGCTCATACCTTGAAAATCAGTGGCTTCGGCAGCTGAAACATAGCGAATCATTGGAAACAATGGATGACTATCGATTCATACAAATATAAGCTAAATTATTTTTTTCCACGGTGGGTCGATATGAAATAGCTATTTTTAAAGAATTAAGCAACGAATGATTTATTCGCGAGGAATATCAGTTGAAAATTGGGTACTACTGAGTTATATTCTGTTTTGTAATGATGAGCTCGGCCAAATTCACGCTATATGTTACATAAGTATAATAGTTAGCGGCCGATTTTCCTTGCAAATTAACGCGAAAGTAGATGCATGATTTCACAAAATGTAAATGCGTAATAGAAATATGGATTTAAACATGAATTCCACTTGACCCAATGCAACTCACTTATGTTTAATATCTCCACTTGTTAATTCAAGAAAATAATTAAATGTCAAGATTCAAAGATTCGTTAGTGATTTAGTCATCGTTATTTTTACTAATTTTCATTTTGCAAATGCAAATACTGTCGACATTCTTTTGCACAAAGGCGACGCCTTTCACTTTATACGTAGTATGATTGAGCGCTAATTGATATATGAAATGCAGGATTTAGTGATAACAAGTTAAGAAACTATCATAATTTGCGCTTTCGAAATAGCGCAAAATACGCTAGGTATTATTACCGCAAAAATACATTAACAGTTATCTCTAATAAAATACTTAATCGTTAAATTGGAAATTCACAAAAATGTGATTGACAGTTCATTGTAATATATCACAAAAAGCCAATGCTTATTCATACTTACTTTTAATGCATTTATGGAGGAAAACCAATTCCTTTTCCTTTGGAAGCGCTGCAATAAATTACATGAAATATTACGGATACTTTGAGAAGATGATGGGGTATTCAAGATATCAATTTTAACCAGAGGGAAAGTTTTGCTGCATTCTAATTTTCGCCTTTTTCGCCCTACATCACAACGAGGGCGAATTTATCATTAAAGCTAACATATATAACAACGTAGTAAACATAGTTATTGATTGTGAAGACCAAATGTTTCATTGGGCAAAAATGGATTTTACTGTCAAAGGGCGAAAATTTGACTGTGCGAAGATGTAGGCGTATATGTATTTTCTTGTTTATGGGGATATTGCTGTGATAATTCACTACTTCATATAATACTATTTTTATCTTTTGCATGGAATTCATTAGAATATGTGTTATGAATATCTTAGATATTGCTATTTGGAAATGTTAGATACATGCTGAGAACAGGTCATCGAGAAATAAACTGTTGTAGAATTGTGATATATACGACATTCGATCAATCAGAATTAACATAGAAGTGATCTGTCATCGCACTAAACATGACCTCAACATAACGAAGTTTTATTGCATGCTTGTGGAAATATTTCCTCTAAATATAAAGTCGTTATATTGACTCACGTGGGAGATTGTCGACCAAAGGACTGACGTGCTCATCAAGTAAATCGATAGCTGTCTGCAGCTCTGGAATAGGTTTCAGGTCGTCGTCAAAGAGATCTACAACACAATATAGAAGTATTACAGCAAGGTATGTGTGATTAAAGTCATACGAGTTATCTTCAATTTAGATATTGTTTATCAGTCATATAGCACAACCAGCAAAGTGGTGATGTATGACGTATCGATTACTAGTACGATATGTACTGTGTCACCTTCATCTGGCAGAGTTTGTGACGGCGACAGAGGACTAATCCTAATAGTCATTGAAATTTCATACTTAATTTTGTTGTTGTTTTTGCTATATGAACCCGTTTACAGCATGTTCGTACCGAAGTGAAGAAAATGTTTAAAACTGTCCAGATATTGAGATTATACGAAGTATTAAGATACCAATCAATAGGTTTCTCAACATTTTCTTCAAGCTGGTAAGTATGGAATGTGAAAAGATTCATGTAGTACAACCAAACAGTGTTTATATGTGACGTTTCGATGACTAATACGGTATGTACTCTGTCACCTTCATCAGACAAATGACTAGTGAAGCGTAGGCAAACACAGGTGTAAAACATGTAAGAGTTGTCCACAAATAAATGTCGATTAAACAAAGCGTAGCTGAATGGGTCACTTCGGTACATATATAAAACTAAATGTACATACACTTACAGCGTAGCCGAATCGACATCGAGTTGTGGACAACTCGTACATTTTTCACACCTTTGTGTGCAAACGCTTCACTAGTCATTTGTCTGATGAAGGTGACAGAGTACATACCGTATTAGTCATCGAAACGTCACATATAAACACTTTTTGGTTGTGTAACATGAATCTTTTCACAATCCATATATTACCAACATGAAGAAAATGTTTAGAATTAAACATTGCTAGTTTTGCTATATGAACCCGTATAAATCTTTACATACCAAAGTGAAGAAATTTTCTAAATACTGACATTATACAAAGTACCAATCAATATGCTTCCTGTTATATAAATGTATGTTATGTACGATCATATGTCTATATATTAAGAATGTACAAACCTCCAGCTTCTACAATTTTAGCTCCCTCTGCAATGACTCCATCAATCCAGCCTTTGATCTCGCCGACCATGTTTCTGATTTCATCAGGGCCATTCTCATTCAAAACTACAATAAAAAATATCGTATTACTAGAAGACATTCAAAGATGAAATGTAAAATTTAGCAATCTTTTTGCAAATCATTTTTATGTAACAAATATTAACAAACAACATGTGATGATGCAAAATAAAAAGGAATTTCGTCACATTAACGACATTATATACATCTCTGGGTACAACCGCTGACAATGCTAACAATTTTTAAGTTTAGATAATTAAGAAAGTATAATAATTCAACATTCCGAAGTTAGGCGTTAGAAATTGTCTAGATTTACTTACAGTCTTCTACATCACCTCTGCTCTGTAAAAGAAAAACAAAGTTTAAACATCACCTGATGTAATGTTAATGATTTTATCACTTGATATTTCATATTTAAGAAATTTGGATTACAAGAATATCATATATTTCAAACAATGACTTCAAATAGGAAGGAAGAAGCAACCCTTAAACAAAGACCAATGTCAGTGCGGAAAGACAAAGGTAGTGAACCTCTTTATTCTGTAATGTATTGCCATTTTGTCCGTTAAGGAATCAAGAGCGGCACTAAAGATCACTAGATGATATTTATCTATATCTCAAATGTTCTCAATCTTACGTAGACCTATGGCGTAAGAGGAAGGATGCCTTTAACATCTTTAATAACGTTAGTCCAAAAATGTGTGTTTCAGATATCCCGAACTTCCCTAGATTTTCCAGCCGACCAAAGAACATTTTATAATAAAATAATAATAATGATATGCAACATTTGTGCAAAACTACTCTTAATGCGCTATATCGACCTGCAGATGACGTCTGCGCGAAAAGCCTTAAATACAGACGTAAAAAGGTAGGTCTTTATAGCCTTTATTGTATTTCCTGGTAATAGATGGTAAACTATTCCACAAATTGGACGAAACCCTTCCAAACCAATGCTGCCATAGGTCACACTACGAAATTTTGGACACACAAATTATACGCCTACTGACCTACCCTACTTTTTCTGGTATGTTACCTGAAACACATATAATGTTTGTTTTGGCCTACAACAGGTTATGTATTCCCAAATCATTATTTGATGTTAGTCGTGTCATGTCGTCTCTGACTCGCAGCGATCCAGCTCTTTTATGTAAGCATAAACCAGCATAGACTTTGTCGTCTTATTTCAATCAACACTATATTAGTGTATATTATGTCAATTTGTACATTACACTTGTAGTGCTTTAACCCTCCGACAATATATAGCAACACCGGTGTGATATGCAGATGTTCACTATTATCTCATTACATCATTTTTAGTATAGTACTTTAAATTAAGTGCCTTAGATATCTATTTATATGCTGTTATACTATTGTATGTTTTACTCGCTGATTATGTGCTAGCTTTCTGTGATAGTGTATAGCTTGTTTGTTGTTTTCTGTTTGCGTTTTATCATGTTTGTCGCAAAAAAGCGTTACAGCGCTAATGTATCTCTGTTGATATATGCGACGTTAAACAAAGTTTCTTGTATCTTGTTTGCTAGACTTGCATCATTAAGCCTAACTGAAGCAGACGGATTGAGTACTAGATATCACGGCTTCATCTAAGCTACAAGTCATTGATTACCTTTGTTAAATAATCCCGAGAAACAGTTTCTGAGCATAGAGGTAAAATCCAAATTTATGTTTAGAAATATTCTTTTTTAAATGGAATCAAAAACTACAGTAGAAAAGATATTAGGGAAACTCATGTTTTAACATTTCATAAATCAACTAGATTTTTTTTCCAGTATTAACAAATTTGTGTGAGCAATAAATATTATATATATACCTTAATTCATTTATCGCTTTCCCGTATATAACTTAAGGTAAAACCATTTTGACATAATTGTAAGTTTTATAATCGGTCACATTTATCTTAACTAAGAATAATACATTTTCACGAAATTCCATTTTATCACGAAAACAGCCTGACTGTAACTTTAAAAAAAAAAAGTTATTTTGTTAAAGACCTATTAAAACTTGTTTCTGAATTTGCTCATTGTTTAAATGAACAGGATGTATATTTCCCCCCTCGAATATATCATAAAATAAACTATTAATAGATGTATATAAAGAAATCACAACTGCATCACGTTTATTCTAAAAAAAATACCTGTACATTAAGTTTTTGCTTATAAATTCACAGCCATTATTTAACATTCGATATACAATTATTTCATTAATCTTTATAAAAAGTATACAGGTATAATTAAACGATATTAGGTGACGAATAGATTTATATTTTTATTATCTAGTTAAGAAATAGAAAAAATGATTATTTTCAAGTCCTTAACCTATTTTTGTCCTGTTTGCAATATCACAATATACTAATGTGCACTAATAACATTTAATGTATAAAAAGATGCATGAGTTAGAACAATATTGTTTTGTGTAGAAAAAATAATAAGAATGTTTTATACGAATTTGATTTGCGATATAAAAAATCAATAATTAGTATTAGAACTTCATTGAAACCGCTGAACCATTTCTCTGTCAGCATCCTTGTGAAATTATAAAAATAAAGATGCATGAAACATTAAGTGAATGATTAAAAACTTACCCGTTTGAGCAATGCCTTGGCATTGCAAACGCAGATTACCGCCACTAGCACTAGGAAAACCTTCATCTTGCCCGACCAGGTCCTTCTGATACTCAGGGTCCGGACACTCTTATTTTATACTGAAAGCTGCGTGATGAGGGAATTAGGACGATTCGAAAGCGTCACAAAGCGGGTGTTAAATACTTAAACACACTTTGTCACGCTAAAACATCTCTTCTGTCGACGTTAGGACCGGTTTACAAAAGAGAAGGTCATTTCTGATCTATTGTAGGGATATGTTCGGGATTGTGTTACTAAGTATCATTGTTCACTGTGTCGTTTCAACCAATATTGATACAACTCATACTGGAGTTAGAATGTACAGATGGCCATTGACTTAATATTTACTTGACCAATACACTAAAATATCCAAATCTCATTGTGAGAAAGATAAACTATAAAACGACCCGGCAAATAATAAAGACGGTTGATGTGGGTTTAGGGGGTTATGTTTTCTTTCTACCTTAAGATTTGACGTCAAATATAGTGCGATTTTATATTACTTAGAGTATGCACGTCATAGTAAACAGTTTTTAATAAAGTTCCATGGTTTGATTTTAGCTGCTTTCTCTTCATACTTGGTCTAGTTAAAGCTTGTATATGAAAAAGTTTAAAATGTGTGACCAAAGGTGTATTTTCGTGCTCGGTCTCTATAAATAGCCTCGACCATGACTTGATGAAACAGGCTCTTTCTCAACAAATTACTTTTGTTCGTTTCTTCTTTATAATTTATAGTTCCTACCAAATGCAAATGATATGTTGTTAGTTATAATATGTGTGTTTAACTAGATCACGCAACCAAAGTGTAATTTTGGTGCCATACTAATATTTGTCAAAGAGATTGATAACAAAATGTAGAAAGTACTTTTATAAGGTTGCAAACATTGTTCTCCTAAACAGTTGAAATTTCAGAACTTTGTGCGTGTTGACGCTGTGATATATTTAGCCTTTGTATTGATGTTTTGGTATATTTGACCATGTGTGTTTACTGTGGTATATTTTATCCTTGTGTGTAGACACTGTGGTATATTTTGTCTTTGTGTGTTGATGCTGTGGTATATTTTGTCCTTGTGTGTTGACACTGTGGTTTATTTTGTCTTTGTGTGTTGACACTGTGGTATATTTTGTCTTTGTGTGTTGATGCTGTGGTATATATTGGGTTTGTGTGTTGACACTGTGGTATATTTTGTCTTTGTGTGTTGATGCTGTGATATATTTTGTCTTTGTGTGTTGACGCTGTGATATATTTTGTCAATTGTGTAGACACTGTGGTATATTTGACCATGTGTGTTTACTGTGGTATATTTTATCCTTGTGTGTAGACACTGTGGTTATTTTTTTCTTTGCGTGTTGACGCTGTGGTATATTTTATCCTTGTGTGTTGATGCTGTGGTATATTTTGTCCTTGTGTGTTGATGCTGTGGTATATTTTGTCATTATGTGTTGAAACTGTGGTTTAATTTGTCTTTGTGTGTTGACACTGTGGTATATTTGACCACGTGTGTTGACGCTGTGGTACTTGTTATCCCTGTGTGTTGACACTGTGGTATATTTTGTCTTTGTGTGTTGATGTTGTGATATATTTTGTCTTTGTGTGTCGATGCTTTGATAAATTTTGTCTTTGTGTGTAGACACTGTGGTATATATTTTCCTATGCTCTGGTATATTTTGTCTTTGTGTGTTTATGCTGTGATATATTTTGTCTATGTGTGTTGATGCTGNGAGACCAAAGCGAGTACTGATTAAACCAACCGATCGTTCGTTAGAACATTTTCAGAATCTCTGAACCAGTCTAAACCAACAAAATCGGTCGCTAGAACATTTGTAGCTGTGGTATTTTTTGTCATTTTTGTTGATGTTTTGGTATATTTGACCACGTGTGTTGACGCTGTGGTATATTTGACCATGTGTGTTTACTGTGGCTTTTTTATCCTTGTGTGTTGACACTGTGGTATATTTTGTCTTTGCGTGTTGATGATGTGGTATATGTTGTCATTGTGTGTTGACAATGTGGTTTGTTTTGTCTTTGTGTGTTGACATTGTGGTATATTTTGTCTTTGTGTGTTGATGCTGTGTTATATTTTGTCCTTGTGTGTTGACACTGTGGTTTATTTTGTCTGTGTGTGTTGACACTGTTGTATATTGTGTCTGTGTGTGTTGATGTTGTGGTATATATTGTCTTTGTGTGTTGACGCTGTGGTATTTTCTGTCATATGTGGTACGTTTTGTATTTGTATATTGATGTTGAAGGAAGTATATTTGTTTCTTTTGTGTTGATGCTCTGTTATATTTTGTCTTTGTGCGTCGATGTTGTGGTATATTTTGTCTGTGTGTGTTGATGATGTGGTTTATATTGGCTTTGTGTGTTGAAGCTGTGGTATTTTCTGTCATATGTGGTACGTTTTGTATTTGTATATTGATGTTGAAGGAAGTATATTTGTTTCTTTTGAGTTGATGCTCTGGTATATTTTGTCTTCGTATGTTGATATTGTTTGTATATTTTGTCTATGTTTGTCGATGTTGGGGTCTATTTTGGCTGTGTTTGTTGACACTGTTGTATATTGTGTCTGTGTTTGTTGACACTGTGGTATATTTTGTCTTCTTGTGTTGATGTGGTGGTATATGTTGTCCTTGCATTGTAAGTGTAAGTATATAATCATAAACTACATCAGTTTGTTTTACTGTTTTGATTATATAACGTGCTATTGTTTTTTAAAATATCAAAAATGTTCTGGACCCGTTTTTTTGAAACCTTCCTCGTGTACTCCTTTAATTCTTCCAAATCATTGACAAAATTGACTTTTTTTAAAACAGGAAACTGGGCGCGAGCGCAGAATGTGGAGTTCAAGTATGAGAACGGTCTCACGAATATGGCCCAGGACCCGTAAACATCACTTACTAGGTTCTTATCTCATTGTAAAGCCAAACAAATTCGGACCAGCTTTTCCAATGATACTAAAAATAGATTTAATCAGCCTTAATAAACAGGCAACCCAGTAAGGAGCCTTGAGAAACAGGCGATATATTTAATCAACCGTGTCTGATGGAAGGTCAAATCTATGTCCATCATGTCAAACAAGTGTTCTTTGTGAAATGTGAAAGGTCATTGAGGGCATGTCGGAGAATGTTTCCGTTACAGGGGGCTTCAATAACGACGTACAGCCTCGCCCCCGGAGTTATTGCTGTGTCTTTTATCGATACAACAATACGACGTGTTAACATTTGATTTATCATAAAAATGAAAAAAAATCCTATAACTCTAAATATGAAAATATATGCGATTCATTGACTTGATTACAAATAAGGTTGATTTGTAGTAGTATTGCCAATCCAAACAAACCCCATCTACTAGTCGAAATTTGGAATTTAGCTTTGTTTGCTATTAAAATATGTCAAGAACATTTAAAGGTTTCCAAATACGAACACGTACAAGTTTGATTGTCCGCCCACCCGCCACGTGATCACTCCCATAACTGACCGTTCCGGATGACCTCCGTGGCTTAGGACCTTGGTACTCAGCACTGACCGGCGATGTTGACACATTGCCCTAACTAGAAAATCAAACCTATTTTAGTGTTCGAATTCAAGAAACTGACAAAAAAGACATATTGTACATATTCTTGAATTACATTCATAGCAAAATGAACACTTTTTTATGTGCATGCTTATGCATTCCACAAATGAAAAACTGCAACACCCGTACACTATTGTATATCGTTTCAAATGCTAAGTACTTGAAATGGGAAAGCTATTTACGTTGAACTGTCGTTCATAGTCAATATAAATGCTTACTGAAATGTGACCAATTGCATAAGGTTTGTAAGTGGTTTATATTGAATATATTGACTATGAATGCCATATGAGAGCTATTAATACTCATCCTAACAACTAAATCAGTCTCATAGAAAATTAAGTGAATATATCAAAAAAGAAGTATTTAGCACAGATAGGTTTCTATCATGAAGGCTTGTTCAATGAATGGAACAGCCATCTTCAAAAGACGGCCAGCGGTATCAAACGTTACAGTAATGACTTCATAATTACAATGTACATAGATACAAAGATTTTATTCTGACTATCGGAATGTTTACATTTCCTCTGCTGTCAGCTCTGTTATATCAATAAAGGTTGGTTGATATTATTGGCGATAACATCATTTATGATTATTTTTGCAAGTCCATTGCTGATAATGTCACAGCTATGTAATTATGAGTTCGTAAATTACCAATGATCTGTACATTGTATCATATCTTGACGTCATAATATATAATATTATAATAATGACGTCATCGCGTTGGTCATGGCATTCATAGCTGATATGAATATCATCTGAACTTTATTGTGTCTTTAGTGACAATCCATTATCTGGTTAATATATGCATGCCTAAATATTACTTCAATACAATCCATTTCATTTTTTGTGTGTATTTATTCCCTGAAAGCAGCTTTGCACCTGTACCAAACTTGTCAGGTTATTTAATAGGATTACGTATGTCACAGATAGTATACTTCGTCAACATCACATAGTATGTCTATTATGATGTCATCCTTATGCAAACGACAATAACTGAAAGCTGTGTACCGGAAATAAAGTCATGTTAGATTTCTGTGAAATACAAACTTTTTGATTAGAATAAATTTTAAGCAAAACCGCTAAAATTTATATTTAGTAACGGGTTTCTCCATTTTCTTGGCGATGCAAAAACTATTTCTCCGCTGGTGATTTTGAGAATATGGACAGTGCACAATTTATCTTTCAGTTTGTGTAATATCTTGTTTTACTTCCTCAAGATTATAATGATTGTCGCAATTCTGCAAAAAAAAAAAAAAAAGGAAATGCTCGAAACAATTTGGTGATTGTTCCTTTTCCTCCCTTATGATGGAAACGCTCTGGGAAAGAATTTATTCCTTTTATGGAAAATGCCCTTCATTTTATAACCGGTATTTACTCTCATTTGTTGTTGTTCCAGATAGCGACCTAATAATCCTCGGATTTGATCATTACATAAGTGTCTTGTCATGAACCGCTACAC